TGAGCTCTCACATGTTCACAGCCTCAGGTGATATTAGGTGGTTGAGGAGTTAAATGAAAGTCTTAGCTAGTATATGCTGTGGCTCTCTTTGTCACAGAAAGATAAATGATACAATATGTAGTTGCTTCAGGCCAAATTTATCCCTGGTCATTCATCCTTCCAAAGACTTCAGTGAAATTTCTTCCGGGGTGAATTTGGCTCCCAAATCTCCACTGGCCTCTATCCAGAGTTTTCTCCTAGGATCCATTCAGTGCATGCTTCCCATTTTACCCTAAGCATAATATTTAATTTTATACAACTTTATGAAGAAATTCTCACTGCAATTTTGCGGTCTTTTGGATAACATTTGTGTATGCATGTGCTGTTTTTACTTATTCATGAAAACAAATACAACCTCAACTACTCTGTTTGGGGGCCAACTTTTTGATTTACAGACAAAATAATTTCAAAATGTATTTTTAAACCACTGCTCCAGATGGTCCATAAATATGAGACATGCCCAAGCAGGGGGCAGAAGAAAAAGAGCATGAATGAATTAAAACACAGGTTAGTGAACACATCACCTCGATGTGCTCTTTTGATCCATAAAGATACCTTCCCTTTTCCTCAAATGGTAAAATTGGCTGCCAAATTAAGCAACCAGTTAATCTGATAACCTCTCTCTAGCAGGGTCTCTTTTTCCATGCCGCTGGCCATGTCAGGATGACATCTTTTGCAGTACTTGTTTCTAAACATCAGCATGCCACAAAGAGAACATGAAAAGATAATGAAGGAAAAGAGAGAAAAGATGTCTAAGAGACTGTGACTTAGGAGATCTGGGTTTGATTCCAGACTCTGTAACATATTTTCCACAAGACTTTGGTCAAGTCACTTGGTGTCTCTGCGCCCCAGTTCCTCACCTGTAACATGAGAATAATAACACTTCCTTTCACCTACCCTTTGTCTGTCTTGTGTATTCAGATGGTAAGCTCTCTGGGGCACAGACAGCCTCTTATTATGTATTTACCCTAAGCACAGTAGAGCCCCATTCTCAGTTGGGGAATTTGGCCACTACTTTAATACAAAGAATAATAATAAGGAAGAGTGATGCACACAATTTGGGAAAAGGCTCTACTATTTTTTCCCTTAAAGTTCCTCTGTGTTGGCAGGGCATTTTGATTCTGCCAGGGAATTTTACAAATGTCAGCGTTTGCAATTCTGCACAGCATGAGTTAACTCCCAAATGGACACACACATCCCTGGCATACTTCTGAGTGGCTGGATGGCAACAAGGACTGAAAAGTAAGCCTAGGAAGTAGTCATTTACAGAACTTGAAAGACTTGTTTATGTTTTTAGCCAGGACTGCCATTCTGCCAATCCACCTGGCTATCATCCATCAGCTACAGACAGTCAATCAACTTTGGATCAGAAACTTCTTTGGCATTGCTTACTCTGTTGCTTTGGAGTGTCTCAGACCTATTTTGTATTTATTAATCTTGTCAAAATGTCAAACTCAGGTTCCCTGTTTACAAGCTCTGAATTGCTCAAACTAGGTCGTCCATATAGTCTCTCACCCATCCAGTGTTGGCAATGCAAATGCAACAGCCTGTACTTTGCCCCTTAAACATCATCCTTCAACACAAGACGTTAGATGAGTTGGTTATGAGTCCCCCAGGAGAGTTCGGAGGGATTAGGAGATGGAGATGCCTGTGTTTTCTGATGCTTCACATGGCTTTGATAAATGTTCTAAGTGAAAAAAGTTTGTCAGAAGTGACCCAGTTTTGCAATATAAATATCCATGATCCTTTAAACATGAAAGTTTATAGTGTCCGTTTTTCCCTAGATGCTACAGTATATCTGGTACTTTCCAAATAACCTTGTTTTGGGTTGACAGGCCCAATCCTGCGTGGTGTTTATCACCCTAAATTCCCAAAGGATGCTCCAAATCTTAAAATATCAGATCCTAAGACTGATTTTTGCATCTTTTTTTTTTTCTTGTTTAAAAAGTACAATTTCCGGTTCCAGCAAAGCAATACAGCTTAATTATCTGTGATATTAGCCTTCTCAGGTTACAAGAGATGTTCTACATCCATGAAAGGGCCACCTTTTCTTGCTTAGGAATGCCACACTCCATCATGTTTGGGGACTAATTGACGGTGGCACAGAGTCATATCAATCGCTCTCACAGAAAATCTTGCAGAAGGGAAAAACTAATTTCGCAAAACTTGACATGTTTCAACAGGCCTCTGTCGTGGGAAGCAGTGACTCTGAAAAAGATCTGGGGGTCATGGTGGATAATCAGCTGAACATGAGCTCCCAGGGTGACGCTGTGGCCACAAGAGCTAATGTGATCCTGGGAAGCATAAACAGGGGAATCTGGAGTAGAGAGGTTATTTTACCTCTGTATCTGGCACTGGTGCCACCGCTGCTGGAATACTGTGTCCAGCTCTGGTGCCCACAATTCAAAAAGGAGAGGGTTTAAAGAAGAGCTATGAGAATGATTAAAGGGTTATAAAACCTACCTTATAGTAATAGGAGCTCAGTCTATTTACCTTAACAAGAGATGGTTAAGGGGGACAAGAGATAGTTAAGGGGGGGACTTGATTATAGTCTGTAAGTACCTATATGGGGAACAAACATTTAATATTGGGCTCTTCAATCTAGCAAGAAAGGTATAGCACGATTCAATGGCTAGAAGCTAAAGCTAGACAAATTCCGACTGGAAATAAGATGTAAATATTTTAGCAGTGTGAGTCGTTAACCATTGGAACAATTTGCCCAGAGTCATGGTGTATTCGCCATCAGTGACCATTTTTAAATCAAGATTGGATGTTTTTCTAATAGATCTGCTCTAGGAATTATTTCTGGGAAGTTCTATTGCCTGTGCTATACAGGAGGTCAAACTAGATGATCACAGTGGTCTCTTCTGCCCACAGTATCTATGAATCCATGAACATGTGGAAAACCTAGTGTGACCAGATTGAAGTGCAGGGTTTTGATAGCTGGGGATGGGCAAGTATTTTTCTTCTACCATAGTGTCCCAGTCTTTTTTCCCAAGTCCAAACTTTTCTTCTCCATTGCAATCTCCCATTTACTTCTCAGTCCCACATAATTTACCTATTCCCCACCCCTCCCACCTTAAAAGACTACTAGGCTACTACTGTGGCTGTTTTGACATGGTTTTTCCTGATGTCATTGCAACATCTCACTCATTTTCTGCTGTTGCTGGGGCTGGCTGGGCCTATGCTGGGCCCCAATGAACTGTCAATCTGCCTGTTGCTGTTTCTTTACACTTACAACTCTGCCATGCTCTGCATTGCTGGGCCTCCCAGATTGCACTCGTAATCCGCAGTATGCGAGCCAGCCCAGTGCAGTGAAGAAGAGGTCAGCAGGGAGAGAAGCACAGCATCCAGACCCAATCCAGGCATAGCTGGTACCAACAGCAGCAGAGAAGTAATGGGAAGTTACAGCTGCAACAGAAGTGGGTTGGATGGAGTAGGGCATGTGCAGAGGGTAACCAGACAGCTCATTAGCCACCTCGCCAGATCTACTGAAACTAGAACAAGCCCCTGGTGTCATTAAAATGATAAGAGGCACTGAAACTATCCCCCAAAAGTGGGATATCATGGGCACACCAGGAAAACCAAAGACATTACCCCCTGTCATTCGTGTGTGTGTGTGTGTGTGTGTGTGTATGCTAGTGCCAGTGCCAGGAAGCTGTTGATATAATTGAACAGTCACTGTCAGGAACACACCCAAATATTAATAGGGTATTGTCCTACTAAACCAATATGTTTCTACACCCAGGGACTAGGCAAGAAAAATAAATTAAGCTGCTCCAGTTGTCAAAAATGTCAATGCTACCAAAATCCACCCCTAGTTCTCCTTTTTTATTTTTTAAAAAAATGTGTCTGGCCTTTTGTGTGTTTTCTCAATTCTGTGTACATACTTTAAACAGATGGTCTGAGCACAGTCAAAATAGAAGGTGCTTTAATGAGCTGTAGCCTGCTGATTAACTATATATAATGGAAATAGGGCATATTTCTTTGCAAAAGTTACCTAGGCTACCTTCAGGTTGGTTTCTCTTTGCCATATTAGAATGGGTATAAGGTGAAAAGCTTTAAAAGCTGCCTGCATATTATCATGACAAAGGAACAAATAAACACAGAGCATATTTCATCTCTCTCCCTGCCTGTCTTTCATTAGGCAGACAAGATTTTTCAGAAGTCATTTTGCAAACCTTTGCTTTTCCTTGTAACCAAGCAGCAAGGGCAAAATGCATGTCGTTTGTAATGTTTCACCCAGGCAATTTTAGATCTTGTTCACATGAGATCTGTATGTAGCAACATGAGTCAACTAGATCCTTTTCTTAAAAAGATAATGAACTGCTATCATTCAGCCTTTGTATTTCCCTGATTACTGCTTACTATGCTTTAGTGAGAGCCTGAGTTCTTCCTCAGTATTTTTATCTCATAATAATGTGCATGTTACACATACTGGGCTGGGTCTACCTGAGCACCTGCAACTCCCATTGACTTCACTAGGAACTGCAGATGCTCAGCACCTCTCAGGCCTGTTACAAGAGAAATATGCATACTCATTTTAGCTAAAATAAAATCCCTGACTGTGCAGGCAGGCACCGTGCTGTAGCAGCAACATCCACAGGCTGGGAACCAGGGCAAATGCCTGCTGCCGGGGAAACCCACTTCTGATCAACCCACAGGGGTCTTTGCCATGCTGCAAATCTTATGTGCTGCCCCAGGGCTCAAAGGTTTTCCCCAGAGGTCCTATCTGGCTGTGTGATAAATGAAGGAAGGGTAGCTCCCTTTTATGGACAGCCAGCCAGTTAGCTGTAAAATCCCCTCTTGGTGTCTGTTCTCTGCTTGCTTTACCTGTAAAGGGTTAAAAAGTCCCCCAGGTAAAGAAAAGGGAGTGGGCACCTGACCAAAAGAGCCAGTGGGAAGGCTAGAACTTTTTAAAATGGGAAAAGAAGCTTCCCCTTTGTGTCTGTTGTGTCTCTCTGGGAAAGAGGGGAACAGAGGACAGCAGGAATGCTGTGTAAAGCTTTAAGTCAGGTATGAGAAATCATTGGATCATACCTAGAATTACTTATTTGAAACTCCCCAAATATGTAGGTAAATTAGGAATGTCTAGCTAAACGTAATCAGGTTTATTTCTTTATTTTGGCTTGTGGACTCCTCTGTGCTAACCCCAGATGCTTTTGTTTGCTTGTAACCTTTAAGCTGAACCCCCAAGAAAACTATTTTGGGTGCTTAATTTTTGGAATTGCTCTTTTAAAATCTAGCAAAAGCCTAAGTTCCAGATGTATTTTCTTTCTTTTAGTTTTTAATAAAATTTACCTTTTTTAAGAACAGGATTGGATATTTGGTGTCCTAAGAGGTTTGTGCACGTGGTTTGATTAGCTGGCAGCAACAGCTAATTTCCTTTGTTTTCTTTCTCAGCTCTTCCCCGGAGTGGGGGTGGTGGTGAAAGGGTTTGAGGGTACCCCACAGGGAGGAATTCTCAAGTACTCCTTCCTGGGTCCGAGGGGTTTTTTGCATTTGGGTGGTGGCAGCATTTACCAAGCCAAGGTTAGAGAAAAGCTGTAACCTTGGGAGTTTAATACAATCCTGGAGTGGCAAATATAAATTTTTAGAATCCTTGCGGGCCCCCACCTTCTGCATTTGAAGTGCCAGAGTGTGGAATCAGCCATGACAGGCTGTAAGATGGGAAACTGAGGCATGACTTCACCCAATTTAGCCTTAATCAATTTTCACCTTTATTTATTAATTTTTGAACAGAATCATTGTCACCTACAGTTTCTGATTATATATATATGATAGATAATAAAATAGATAAGATGGAACAGATAGAGGCACAAGCCATTGAATCATGCTATTCCTTTCTTGCTAGATTGAAGAGCCCAGTATTAAATAGAGCGGTTCCTGGAGACGGGATGAGAAGTCTGAGGAATGGAGACTGAATAGGTGGTGAGAATGAGACTGGGATGGGGAGTCAGGAGTGGAGAAAATACAGGTCTGGAGTGGACCAGGGACAGGTTGAAGCACAAGGGGTTATTTGGAGGGGTGGGGGAAGGGGACAATGGGCAGAAGAGTCTGTGCCCACTACAGAACACTTCCATCCAGCACCTGGAATAGAACCCAAGATTGCTGAGTCTCACCATTCCTCTACTGTCCACAAGTATCTGTAAAACCCACAGGCAAATTGAGTGTCTCATCCCCCTCTAGTGCTGGTCCACAAAGATGACAACTTACTAGTGCTATCACTTACTACTCCATTAGCTTACGCAGTAGAAGTCTGTGTGATGGATCTAAAGGTTATAGTCTTTAATTCCATGATCATATATTATTTTCTTTCACAGGGCCCCTCCTTCGTTCAGTGCACTAGATGGACCTGCTCTGGGGGAGAATCACAATTAAGTAGCAAAAGAGACTTGTTTGTAGGACCCCTATTGCAGAAGCTAAAAGACATGTAATGAATGAGGCAGGGAACTGCAGAAAGGATGGATTCATCATTAAGGCAGTTGAACACTGTCCTGGAGAATGAGATGCTATCCTGCCCCTGCCACAGAATTCCTATGTGTTGCTAGTCAAGTCACTTAACCAGAGTTTTTATACATGGTCATTAATTGTGTGTACCTCATTTTCTGGGTGCCTGATTTGAGATTCTTGGGTCTGATTTGCAGAAGTGCTGAGCACTCACAGCCACAACTAAAGTCAATGGGAACTGTGCTTTGCACACATGAAGTATTATATAATGCTAAGTGCTCTGAAAAATCAGGCTGTGGGCATCTTACATTGGACACACAATATTAGTGAATATTTTTTACCTTAATTTCTCTGTGCCTCAGTTCCTCATCTGTAAAATGGGGATGATATCACCCCCTTATCTCACAGGAGCCTTGTGAAAATAAGTTAATGAATGCTTGAGAAGCTTTCAGATACTATATTGATGATCTCTATAGAAAAGTCTACGAGGAACTTAATTCTGTCTTCAGGGCAGGGCTGGAATAGCATGCAGTGAATAAGGCCTGGGGACACACATTGAACAATGAGGAGAAAAGAAAATATTGAATAGCTGCTCATTCAGTGAGCATGGTCCATTCTGTGCACTGAATGAGGTGGGCTGCTGTGAACAAAATACTATATGATCATATAATAATAATGCATATGGCACAAGAGCATCAAATTAAGGTTATACAGGTAACCTTAATTCTGCATTTCTGAACTTTTGAGTGCTTGCTTGACTTTGCAATATTAATAATGACCTTTTAATGTAATTTTTTGTGTGTGACAGATAAATATTATATATTCTAGTTAAAGGTGCCTTACAATATTGCCTTGATTAACTATCTCAACCATGATCTTTGTAGCTATGTAGTTAACTATGATGGCAGGACTGAAATCATGTAACTTTTAGGAGGTGCTCTAGAATCTGAAACTTCTCAGGTTTGGAGTCCATTTAGGGATAAAAGAGTAGAAAGAGTGAAGAAAGAAAGACATCTTGAAATGTCCACAAATTTACTCCTACTCTTCTTTCCACCACTCACTAGGTCCCCTCGCTTCCCCACACACACTCCATGTAAAGCTATTCATGGTGTTTCCCATATATTTCCCATACACTTCTCATTTGAGGCTTGATCGTGCACGATGCAGGCATGGTGCTACACATGAGTACAAACTGAAGGGATGAGCAGTTAAAGAGGTACAGGGGAACCCAATTCTGCATCAAAGACAGTGATTCTCTGCAGCAGTCAAGTTACTTCTGCCTAGTGGAAAGAGGAGTAAGCCTGAAGTATGGAACACAAAGTTTAATTCCTCATTAGCATAATCAGGACTGCACTTAAGCACTCATCTCCTCAGACATGCCAATTATCCACTCATACCCTCCTCTCTAGAGCTGTTCAGAATTTTTCCTTGATGGTACTAGATGCGTCACCATTGAATGATGGGAAGCAGTCTCCTCTCACCTTGACCACAGGGTTGAGCGCTCTAGTTCCCAGTGCTCTCTTAACACCTGTCCACCTAGAAAGTGATAGACCAGGTTCCAGAACCAGAACTACCAGGAGCCTGAGATCATTCCCCTGTTTAAGCCTACCTAGAGTTTGGAAAATATTATATGAAAAGCTGCAACTGTATCTCAGAGAGGTAGCCAAGCAACCTTTTGAAAACCTCTGTGCTTCAAATTAATGTAACATGTTCCTTTCACCGTCATTTTTCAAGTCTCCACAACAAACTCCAAAGCCCTTCCTTAATATCCCTCCTCCTTCCCCCAATTCCTTCCCTCGCAGCAAACAGACTAGTGCCAAGACATTTGGCCTGATGAACACCACAGCTGAGTAGGAAAATGGAGACAATAATTTTAGACTCATTGGGACAATTTACCTCAGTGTCACTGGTGTAATCTCAAAGAGAGTGGGATTTAATCCATTCTTCAGTACCGCCTCTTTCCAGATTACCTTAAAAGGCAAAGATATCTGCACTTACTTGAGTCAGTTCACAAAGTCCAACTAACGCACACTGAGGAGCCAGAATGTCACAAGATACCATACAAATGACTTTAAGCTCTACGGGAACAGCTATCGACGGTCATGTTATAGACATCACCTTACCTAAACTCCCTCTATATTTGGCTAATTCCAAATAAAAAACATCTAAGGCTCGCCTGGTTGATTCCTGTAGCAGGTAAACAGCATTCATCTGAGCTCAGTGCTGTTCACATTTTGCAGATAGAGGTACAGCACCAGCAGTGTCTCTAAACCTTACAGTAGGGGTTGTCTCCCACTGTTAAAGCCTTCCTTAAATATAACCATATTTAGAGAGTAATTACACTGGGTCTACCTAAAACTTTCCTTGTACCTTAACTGGCTACATGATTCCTAATTCCATGTCCATTACAGTGTGCTGTCCAACAGCCTGGGTGCTTGACCCCACCCCAGAGAAGTAAAGGGTTTTTTTTGTTTTTTTTTTAAAGTTAATGGAGATACCCTATCTCCCAGAACTGGAAGGGACCTTGAAAGGTCATCAAGTCCAGCCCCCTGCCTTCACTAGCAGGACCAAGTACTGATTTTGCCCCAGATCTCTAAGTGGACCCCTCAAGGGCTGGGCTCACAACCCTGGATTTAGTAGGCCAATGCTCAAGCCACTGAGCTATCCCTCCCCTCCAACAGGAGGTCTGCAGACCCTATAGAAGGGAAGGGGCAGTTGCTAACTTACCATGACATTACGGTAAACATTAACATATGTGAAGAGGCTTCTCTTT